TGGTGGACCCACGTCATTACACATCTGTCCACACCCACAGACGGTACAACACCAAGCGCGAACCCTAGTCTCAACTATTATTATTAATAATAATGAGCCATATTGGTTCATCAGGTGGAACGAATGTACCACACTAAAGCAAGACATTAACAATAGGGGAAACTGGTGGGGGAGCAGGAGGTACATGAAACTCTGTACTTCCCTCTCAATTTTTCTGTAAACTTACACTGCTCTAAAAAATAAAGTCCATTAATTAAAAAAACCTAAAAACGGAACCAAGCTCTCAGAGCGGCTCTGCTTCCGGTGGGGCCAAGTTAAGTGGTCCAGGTCACGGGATGGGGCTTGTTTGGTGGCCAGCCGGCTTTGGGATGGCCGGGCATCTCCAGGGTGGCCACGTCCAGGAACGTGGTCCAGCCGGGTCTCAGGGCAGCCCAGTTCTCGTGGTGCGGGCCCCGCAGCTGCCCCAGGCCTCGCCCCCACCGCCTACCTTCCGGACACCGCCCGCTGGGCCTGGGCCTGGGCCTGGGCCGAGCCGGGGGCCGCAGGGTGGGCACCGGGGCCCGCGGCCCTGCGCTGCGCCTCATCCCTGGCCGCCTCGGCCGGGAAGGCGGGCGGCGCGCCCAGCAGCTCCACATTGGCCACGGTCTTGCCGATGGTGAACCAGTCGTTGATCTGGTCCACGGTCAGCTTGCGCAGCATGTTCACGGCTGGGCGTCGCGCCGCCTCAACCAACCGCCCTCAGAGCGGCGGGAACAGGCGACCACTGGAACGCGACGGGGTGACGTGCGACGGCGTGACGTGCGACGGCGTGCCCACGGCCCCGCCCCCGCTCCAGGCCCTCCAATCAGAGCGCGCTACGAGTCTGCGCAACCTGGCCTCATGCCGCCGGCCCCGCCCCTCCGCGCTAAGCCTGCCGGGAGCGCAAGGCGGGCAGCAGCGGTAGCAAGGCCTGGCAGTGTTGCTCTTGCATGCGCACATCCTGAGTCTTATCCCGCCCCAGTTCCTGGTCAGCGAAAGGAGCCCCTCAGAGCCCCTCGGCCTTCCACGGCCAGGCCGAGGCATCAGCGTACCTGGATGTGCAAGAGTACGGCTTCGAGTCTCTCTGTCCTCTCTAAGAGCTGCTACATCTGAGGTTTGGCGCTTCAGCCGACGAGGGACGGGCATCTGGTGAGCACCTGCGGTGTGCCCATCGCAGCGCAGGGCGGCGGGGTACCGTGCTGACAGGCCTTGGCGTGGCATTTGAAAGGCAAAGCACAGGAGGGATTTGAGTTTGTGTTGTCGGGGTAAACGACTGGCGGCTGGACTGGAACACCTTGCACCTAATTTGGGGGAGGAGAGCCAGGAGGTCAGGGACGCCTTCGTGGAGAAAATGGCACCTGAGTGGACACCTGCAGGATAACCAGCCCAGTGAAGGAGGACTCAGAGAGACAGTCACAGGGGAAGGTGGTCGAGATGCAGGTAACCGTAATGCCTGAGTTGAGGGCCTGGAGGAAGTTCTGCCGGGCCAGACAACTAAACTGAATTCATCTTCCTCCTTCCTAAACCTGCATCTCAGGTGCAGTGTCCTACACACAGCTGGACGGAAACAGGCAGCCAGAGGTGCAGATGTGGAGGTCGTCAGCAAAAGGATGGTGGTTAATACCCTGAGAACAGCTGAAATGGTCCACACCCAGCTCTGGAAAAGTGAAGTGGAGGACTGAACCCTAGGAAACAGCCTGAAAGAAAGGGCAGAGGGGAAAAAAAATACAGCAAGGTATACAAAGGAAGGAAGGCAACAGGGAGAATCAGAAGAGTGGCATGACTCCCTGCTCCCCCCCCCCCCCCCCCCCCAGCATGCGGTCAGTGCCCAGTGCAGTGTGGGCTCCTTGGAAAGAGCCCTATGAAAGAATGTGAAGAGGGCATCCGGAGCATCGCACTGACTAACATTGTGAAGTCCAACCAGTTAAGGACTGGAAAATGCCCGGAGAGTGGCAAATAAGAGGTCATCTTGAGAACGGTGTGAACAGAAGTCAGACTAGGTGGGGGTTGAGCTATTTGTGCCTCACAAAAAATGAGGCGGGGATCGAGGCACTGAGCCAGGAGTCCCAGGTCCAAATCCTGTCCAAACCACTAATTTGTATTATGAGTTCTGGACCTCATATTTTCCAGATACTGCAGCCTCCATAAGTGCCCCTCACACACACATTTTTTGGCAGAGAAAAAGAATTTGTTTTTCAATAAATAAAAAATGTAATCATAAAGTCATTGAGATTCTTAGTATGTCATTGAGCATTGACTGGAAAATGTTGCAGCTTCATACCTTATGTGAATGCTAGCACATGTTCTTAATTTCACAAAATATATTGAAACCACTTGACACAACTCTGGAACTCACGTTTGTGTTTCCTAATAACGTTACTGTTCCCACATGCTATCATCCTTTGTTGATGTCACAATGAAGATGTTTTTAAGTGGAAGTTGCTGTTTTTCTGAAGAGGGTTCCTCTCACGCGATATTTTCCATAGGGCTTTTTGTATGTTCTTTGATCTTTTGGGGTTACTATCTCCCTCAGTCCTGTTGGGTTTTGAGTTTTTAACTGCAGTTTAAGGACACTGTCTTGATGCTTCTTCAGTTTCTAAGTTTATTCTCATCACTTGCCATTCTCCTGACTTAACGTTAGTTAACATTCTGTGTCACTGAACGGCTTTGCCCCCCTTCATGTGATTCAGTAGCTCTTGATGCTCCATGCTCACTTGGCCCAGGTCATCTTGCATTCCTGTTCAAAGAGACAGATTGACAGTTCTTAATAGGCTTGTAGACATCTAGGCCAGAGTATGTGGAAAGGCCCCCAAAGGCCTCCCGGGCCTTGGTGGAGATTTTGCGTATTTGCATTCCCAGAGCAGCTAGAGCTGCAGACCTAAAGGAAAAGCAAACAGCTGAGAGCAATTACATACGATGTTGATGCCATTAAGCAGCACTCTTGATAAAGTGCGAAAAGCCATGCCCAGAGTACCTTCATGTCTTCCCTGACCCTCTCACCCACAAAATGCAGCATTCTGCACTTTGCATAAATCTGCTGGAGTGGCCCTTTCTTTAAATATTTTGTTTTCCTCAAAGATGTGTTTTTCATAGGATTTTTTGGATTAGCAACTAAAAGCCATTAAAATTCTGTTGAGCTCAAGTTGTGTTTGAAGTTCAGAAACTTTCTCCTGAAATAGCTTACAATGATGCTCTTAAATTTCTTAAATGCTTGTTGTTGTCCTCAGCAGTTTTCTAACTCATTATAAGTTTAAAACATTCTTTTTAAACAGTGGTTCTCAATCCCAGTCCGTATCACAGGACCCCTTTACACTCTTAAAAATTACTGAAGATCCTAGAGAGCTTTTGTTTATGTGGGTTATGTCTACTTTATTAGGGATTACAACTGAGACATTTTGTTTATTAATTTTAAAATATCAATAATAAAACCATTTGGTGTTAAAGAGAATATTTTATGAGAAATTACTGTGTTTACCCTCCAAAATTTGTGTGTGTGAGAAGAGTAACACTTTCTCATTTTACAGATCTCTTAATGTCTGCCTTAATAGAAGACAGCTACATTCTCCTATCTGTTTCTATATTCATTCTGTTGAGACGTGACACATCAGCCTCTGGAAAACTCCAGTGTACACTTGTGAGACAATTCTAATTAAAAAGAAAAATAACATCTTACCCTTACTACAAAAATAGTTTTGACCCCCAGAGGGCCTTCGAAACCCCCAAAGCACACTTTGAGAACCATTACCCTAAAATGGCAAGCGTTTCAAGTTGCGCCTGCAGCTTCATTTGATCCCAGGCTTTTTTCCCTTCGAAGCGGGACTATGTTCGTTTCTCTTCCTTCCTGCATCCCCATCTTCCTTCTCAGCTCACTTTCCTTCTGCCTGAATAATGAACATTGATTTTTTTTTAACTGTAGATCTGCTGGTGATTATTCCTCAATCTTAGGTTACCTGAAATGTCTTCATTTCACATTCTTTACTGAATGCTAATTTCTGTATGCATAGATTTCTAGACTGGCATTTATGTTAATATTTTCTATTTGTCTTTAGTTTTCTATGGTTTTATTATGAGGTTTCAAAGTGTTAGTATATTTTCACTTAGCTGCCTGCTTGGTTTCTATAATGGTTTTTAAATCTTCGGTGTGATTTGTTTTCCATCACTTTTGGAAAATTATCAGTCAGCAATTCTCTCTTCGAATATTTCTGCCCCATCTCTCTCTCATTTCCTTCTAAGCTCCAATTACATGTATGATGGACTTTCTGACTGTATCCTCTCTCATCTCCTCTTCTGTCTCTCTCTGCTTCTGAATGGTTTCCTCTAACCTATCTTCCAATTCAGTAACTCATCTGTTTAATCTGCTGCTAAACCCATCCAATTTCTATTTAGCTCAAATCGGCTAAGTGGTATTTTGTTTCGTTTTTTACAATTTCCAGTTTTTTGCTTAAATTATCAGTCTTATTTTTTATTTTCTTGCACATACTAAGCACGGTTATTTTTAAAGTCAGTGTCTGTTAGGTCCAGCGTCCGGAGCCCCTGTAGAAGTTTTCATACTGTCCATTGAGTAGAATTACTATGCACAGAACAGATGGATAAAAATACGCAGAGCGAAAAGTTGACAATACAAAGAGAAACGGCAAGAAAACCACAGGGACAGGAGACTCGACTGCTCGGCCTTTAACACAGCAAGCAAAAATGGCCCCTTTTTCAGGTTGACCAACTGGTCCGCTTCGTCCAGGACCTTCAGGTTTCAGCACTGAAAGTCCCGTGTCCCGGACAAACCCGGAAGGTTAGTCGCCGTATCACGACACACACCCGCAACGCCGCCTCCCCGACCCCTTCCCCAGGCGCTCCGCCAGCCTGGCCTCCCCGGCCCGCGTCCACACCGACAACACGCGGGCGGCCGCTGGGGGCGCTGTGGTGCGCAGGCGCAGGCTTGGAGGCGTGCAAGCGCTGGGGTGCCGCCGCTCCTTCCGCCTTCCCGGCAGGCCCCGCGCGGCGCCTGCGCGCTAGGTGACCTTCCCGAGTCGTCGGCTGTGCGGGTTGTGGTGGCCTGAGCCGTTGGTCCTGCGCCGAGGTGAGTGGGGGCTGCCGGCTCGGCCCCAGCTGCTCAGCGCGGGGATGCCAGGACGCGGGGGGCTGGGGCGGCAGGGGTCGTGGGGTGAACTTGGCCCCCGCCAGGAGAGCTGGCGGCGGGCGAGAACCCTCCTGGCCCCACCGCGGCCCCCGCTGACCTTGGATGCGACCCCTTCCCCTCCCACGCGAGCCTTTCCGCCCCGGCCCCCGAACTGCGAAGCGAGGCGGTCCAGGCATCAGCTGTCAGTGGGAAGTAGGGCCTCGGCCGCGTTACCCTTTTTCCTTTGCGTTCATGCATCTAACGCACCTGCACCATCGTCCTCCTCTGATGAGGGGCTCCTTTGGCTGTGAGGTTCCGTCCCCTAACGGAGGTTACGCGGCCAGTTAGTGATGGAGCCAGCGTCCAAACCAAGAACTCTCACCCCCTGCTTAACACCGTATCTCGTCTATACCTCAAGTTCCCTTGCAACACGCTTGATCTCTAAGTTATGCTGTGCATATGGCGAGGCCTTGGGAGAGGGGAAACGGGACCAAAACGGGATTAGAGGGGATGACTGCAGTTGTATGGAACTCAGCCTGTGAATCCCGGCCTCGGGCTCAGCGGGGCAGACGTTCCCTATCTCCACTGTAAGGGCAGGGGATAGTCTGCTGTTAATGTAATGTGCCAAAACCTTTGCAGACTTACACGGACGCACTGGGCACCCATTTGACCTTTGAATAGGATGGGGCTTTGAAGGAACGCGGGCGAGAAACCCCACACACAGAGCTGGGAAATGTGGCTGGACAGAGGGGACTCAGGTGGGTGAAGCAGGAGGAATTTATTAACATTGGGAACATGTCACTTGTCCAGCCAAGTATGGCAACCTTGGCCAAAAGGATAGTCAGAGGGGAAAGGGTAGGTATTGGCAGGACCCTACGTAGCAGTCCAGGATCACTTTAGGTGAGGAGACAGTGTGGGGTGCCGGGGCCCTGAGCAAAATATCAAGATAACTCAAGTGGCTTTGGCCCCTTGTTAGCTCCTCTTCACCCTGCCAGTTGATTTTGCTCTTTTCTCTCTAGATCCTTTTCTGGCCTTGCTCTGACGCCCTTACCTGGCCTCACTGAGTGAATGCATCTTCCTAGGTCCTCTTAGAATCCCAGTAGCTCAGTACTGTGACCATCAGCTGGGAGTTTGTAGCATTTCTTTCTGCTGTTGGTGTGATCATTTACTGAATTCTTATTCCACACCACGCATCAGGCTGGGTCCTTTACGTTTCCTCCTTGAATTCCATCGAGAGCCCTGTAGGGCAGGTGGAGGCACCCCCGTTTCCAAGCAAGGGAAACCTCTGAAACAACAGCTTCCAGACTTGCCCGCGGTCCAGGGCAGAGCTGGTGTTGGAACCCCGATTCCCAGGCTTCCAGCCCCACTGGGCCTCTGGACCTCCTTTCTCCCCAGTCATTGCTGGGCACAGAGAGGGGAGGAAGGCACTCAGCGCCTCTGCAGTCTTCCCATGCGGGACCTCCAGAGGCCTTCTCTGGCTGCTGTCTGGTCGACCACTCTCAGACACCTTTTCAAGGCAGGGCTGGTAGTTTCTTGGAAGCTTGTACTCTGACAGATCATCCTGGTATAGTCTGAGGACAGGAAGTCTGAGGGCAGACATACCTACAAGAGGTTCTAGGAGGAGGACACAGCCACATCCTCCAGGGTCACACCTGGGCGGCTGGTGAGCCTTCAGGACCATGCCTCAGCCTGCATAAGTTCTCTCCTGAGAAGAGCTGGAAGCCAGACCTTGGAGCAGGGGCCTGAGTGACTCAGATCCAGCTATTGGTCTCGGGCAACTTCCTCCAAGTACCCACCCTACACGGGTTAAGGAGAAGTGCAGGAAATAACGCAAAGCACATCGTGAATGCTGTTAAGTTTGCGTGACATTCTTAGAATAAAAGCTGAAGTTTTTACTGTGGCCTCCAGGCCCTAAATGAGCTGGCCTGTCTTCCCTCCCATGGCCCAGCCATGGTGTTTTCTGTATCAAGCAGTGAGTGCAGGACAGCAGACGCTGTGCATACTTGATGCAGAGGAGCTCACCTCATCCTCATCACAGCGGCCCTTTGAGGTGGGTACTGTTTCTATCCCTGTTTTACAGATGAGGGAACTGAGGAGTTAAGTGAGCTGGAAAGTGGCAGAGCCAGGATTTGAGTCTGGGCAGCCACAGTGGCCTCCTTCCCAGTCCTCCCCGCTCTGAGCTCGTTCTGGCCTCGGGGTCTTGGCACATAAGTTGCCTCTGCTGAGGACACTTTTCTCCCAGATATCCTCTCTTTAGGAGCCAGTTTCTCAGCTCCTGAAACAGTGCCCGGCACCTAGTACACACTTGGTTCACCTTTGCTGAATGAATAGTGGTCGCACAGGCCAGGTTTCTGTAATGGGAAACCATAGAAACTGAAGAGAAGTAAAATTCTGTGTGGCCCAAGCAGATGTGAAAGGAACAATAGACGAGGCTCTGGTGGGGAGGGGACGAGGCAGCATTACAATTGACGCCAAAGTAATGTTTTCAAGTAAAACGGAAAGTTCTTAGATCTGGTTACCCCTGGCAGTGGTTTGAATGGCTGTAGTTTAATAGAGCACTTCAGATGTTACAAACCTTATTAAAATGAAAATGAAACGAATCTAATTTCAGAGTCCGTAGTAAATTGTAAACATAATCAGTATTACTTTGAGACCTGCACATAAAAGTGAGTTGTTTCAGTTCAGAATTTGATGGGTTTTCCTAGTCAAATCCAGTAATTGGTTGAATATTTCTGTTAATTAAACAAGTTATGCCATCATTGCAGCTCTTATGAAGTGACCTTGTCTTGTGCTATCTGCTTTGTGTTTGGCCATGGACTTCAAGACTGAGATACGTGTCAGACATTGTGACTGTAGTTAATAACTGTATTGAAGAGTTGAAATTTACTAAGAGAATAGAACTCAGAGTTCTCACTAAACAAAAGATGTGAGGTGATGGCTATGTTACCTAATTAGATGGGGGAAATACTTTCACAATGTGCGTGTATATTAACTCAGCACCATGGTCTACACTTTAAATACCTTGCAATTTTATATGTGGGTTATACCTCAATAAAGCTGAAATTTTATTGAAAAAATAACTGAGATACAGCTGATCAGCGTGTGCCCAGGTCTGGGTGTTGGTCTCATAGGGAAATCACCGTACCTTGACCGTGCTCTGTTTCAGCTTTGAATGCCAACAGTTCTTAACACGATGATGCAAACATACTAGTTTTTCAATTTAAAAGTTAGAAAGTGGTGTGTAGGGGCCAGCCCCATGGCGTAGTGGTTAAGTTCCGCATGCTCCACTTTGGCGGCCCAGGTTCGTGGATTCAGAACCCTAGGTGCAGACTTACACCACTCGTCAGGCATCTGTGGCAGCAACCCACATATAAAGTGGAGGGAGATTGGCACAGATGTTAGCTCAGGGCCAGTCTTCCTCAGCAAAAAAAAAAGGTGGTGTCTGATTTTGGGCATAGCTTTGGAGGATAGCCATCAGAGAGGAGGAGCTTTCGATGACGGTTCAGGATGGCACAGGCTGGGAGAGCTCTGGGGCTTCAAGAAGGAGGTGACTTGAGCGCCAGGATGGCCGAGGTCAGGGGGTGTTGAGGGGTGTGTGGAGCTTGAAGAGCTCCTGAGAGCAGGAGCCCACCTGCGGATGTAGGAATGGCTGCAGGGGAGCAGGTCTGGCAAGAGAGCAGCTCCCTGTTGAGTGGTGGTGGGAAATAGGGTTTAACTTAATGAATAAATGGAAATCTCTTACCAGTTAGGTTTAACACAGCCGTCGTGCTAATATTTATCACTGTGTCCCTTTTCAGATGCTTCAAAGCCTTATCAAAAATGTTTGGGTCCCCATGAAGCCCTACTATACCCAAGTTTACCAGGAGATTTGGGCAGGAATGGGGTTGATGGGCTTCATCGTTTATAAAATCAGGAGTGCTGGTAAGTGTCTTTATGTTTGATTCATTAGAGGTCAGGAAGAAAATTCTTTTCAAAAGGAATCAGAATCCATATTGTAAAGGAACTGTGGTTCTTAAGCGGAGTGTACATCAAACCCTTGGTGGTCCTCTGTTAAAATGTGGGGACTACACGCCGGCTATAAGAGACACTTGGGGACTATTGGGGAAATTTGAACAAGACCTTGATATCAGGGAATTGTGAATTTTCTTAGGTGTGACCGTGGTATTTGAATGCCTCGGAGATGTCCTTTGTTTTAAAGAGAAGCAGGCTAAAATAATTAGGGGTGAAGTGTCACGGTATATGGTGTTTTCCTGTACCTTTTCCACTGTTCTGGATGTTTGAAATATTTTCATCATAGAAGTCGGGGCAAGGTGATCATTTGGCCCTTAGTGGAGCAGAGACGAGGCCCAATCACGTATTAATAAGCAATTGGGTACACAGAGGAAGGAAAGGAGAAAACTTGGAACTGCAAGACTGGAGTTTGGGCTATAGGAGGATGTCAAGAGTCCTGCAGACCCTGAAGGGCCATTTAACTGTTCGTAGAACAGTTTTGGTAAATTTTATGACTTCTTGGCTATGGGACGCTGTAGTAACTCCTATTTTCCGGAAGTTTCCCGTAACAGCTTTACCTAAGCTGTGAACCTTTCAGCCGGATGTTAATTTCAACAATGAATTGACTAAAAACATTTTTGTAAAGCATTGATATGACCATTTTTTCTTTCCGTTTATTTTAGACAAAAGAAGTAAAGCTTTGAAAGGTAAGATTTTTGCTTCTTAAGATGGGTGCGGAAGGAAAACCACCATCGTACCTTTTCAGGACAAGGCGTATTCCTGTTCTGAATTGAAGCCGACACATGGTTCAGTAAATGCATAAGATGCAACAGGAATCCTTCAGAACATGATGTTTACTGTGCCTGCTGGAAATTAGAACTCTGAAGTTCTGCTTCCTATAGTCTGCATGTTAAAAACCATTGCTCACCCCCTCCGGCCAAGTAAAACTTCCTGGAGTAGTAGAAGAATGGGTTAATCAGAGGCAGCCGATGCCCTGGATGGGGACGCGCCAGTTAGCTCTGCAGCCGCGCTGCCCTGTCGGCTATCTTGAGAGAAAGCACCACATAAACTTATTCCCTAGTGCTGGGTGTTTCTTCACAGTGTCCCAAATGACAGTGAAACTGTAGTCATTTGAGTCCTACTCAAACCCAGGGCAGGCTCCTGGCCTCTGGGAAGGAGACGCTTCCCCGCCCCTTCGTCCCTGCCCCTGTGGGGAAGCTGTCACGGGCTCGAGTTGATTTACAAACCCGTAAACATGCTGGGCGTTCCGTATAGAAGTGACTCTCCATGCTTCTTCATAGTATTGGAAATTGTCCCATACACTTTCTGACTTGTTAGATAACAAGCTACATCTGCTGCTTCCTGCCTTCCTAAATTGTATGTATGTTATGCTTCTCTTTCAAAAGCTTCGAGTCCTGTGCCTGCGCATGGTCATCATTAACCAGCTTTACTTGGAGTGCGCATCAGATGGAATGTCAGTCTGGCTGTAAATTTCAACAAGCTATGTTAGATGAACACATGGAACATCGCTGTACACTTATAGGAGTGCCGATTCCTCAAGGCCTGAATAAATGTACCTGTGAGATGCACCCCTGCCTGCCCTGGGTTTCCCCCGGCTCCTCTGCGTGTGCGTCGTACCCTGAGTAGAGCTCTGTAGCGCAGCGGGTGCAGTCAGGTCTCACAGCCGTCCACCCTCAGGAAACCTGAGGAACTGAAGGATAAATATCTCGATTGCCGTGGGAGTTGGGGTCAGACCCAGGCACTCAAACTTCTGATGTTCAATAAATAGTTGTTAAACAGGTGATCCTGCTCCTTACTCTCACGACCCCTCAGCCTCCATTTTCTCTTTCGGAAAATGGAGATGATACTGTTTAGTTCTAACTTATAGTAACTGTGAAGATCAGTAAGAAAGGGTCTGGAAACTTACTGTCAAATACTTTAGAATAAGGCAGCATTCGATCACATGCTGGGTGCAATGAGCTCTGGGAGAAGCCTTTATCAAGAAGTCGCTTATAAGACAAAGTATATAATATAAAAAATCAATTGATGGTTCTTCTAGTTCGGCTAATATCAAATAAATACTACATATTTTTCTCCATGTAAGACGATTACCAAAATCCCTGGAATTGCATTTAAAAAAAGATTCTAAGGCAGTAAACATGGGGTAGAAGTGAGTCCAGTTTGAAATCTGGTACTCTGCAGGTTAGTGGGAGCCTAGCTGTGGAGTAGAAATGATGGCCCAGGTCCTGGTCTTTGGCCGTCTTACTCTCCTTTTAAGGCCAGAGACCATCCCTGTCTTTCGTCTGTGTCTCCAGCATGTAGTGTCGAATCTGGCTCATGGTTAGTGTCCAACAAATGACTCCCACTTATTGTGGAGTCTCTGAGCCTCGGTTTCTTTTGTAAAAGGGGGTTAAAACCTGCATTGTCAGCCTCACTGCCTCACGGTTGTTGGCTCAGCAAGGAATTGGCATGACAGCATCGTACAGCCACAGTGGAAGCTGGCGTTGGACCCGGGGAATGGGAGGGCTCCGTCTAACGCAGAAGTCACATTTTCTCTGTTAAGCATTTGTTCTGTTCTGCCTCCAGAGGATGACTCAATCCTGTGGTTCAGAAAGACCGTTATCTTAAACGTTATTCCTCTGGGACATCTGTTCTCAGACTTGCGCGTGCATCAGAATCTCCTGGAGGGCTGTCAGTAGGGCGCGTGGGCCCAGGGTTTCTAATTACCCTGGTCTGGGGAGGAGCCTGAGAACTTGTATTTCTCACGAATTGCCAGACATGCTGATGCCCAGGGACCACACTTCGAAAACCACTGATCCATAAAGAACAGTGCCCTCCAACCCTTAGGGCCACTACATCAGCGTTCACCCACGCGCCCACCGCGCGCCCCAGCGCCAGCTCTGCTGCGCGACTCAGCACTCAGTCCTGAGAACCGAACGAAGTGGAGCTACAGTCCCATTTTCGAGAAGAGGAAACACCAAGAGGGGCAGTGATGTCCCAAAGGTCACCTCGCCAGTGCTAGGGCTGGGACTTGGACTCCCGGAGTCTGAGCTCTCATCTAGAAAGAGAGAAGGTGAGGACGGAGGACACTGACCCCTGGAGAGGATAGAGGGGCTAGTGTGGCCCAGCAGCGCATCCCCCTTACAACCTATGGGTTCCTTCAGTTAGGATCATCTGGGTAAATACAGACTGTTTTGTAAAAGAGGCTTGTCACCCATGTCTGCAGGTGCCCAGACCACACCTTGTGCAGAGCGGGTGGAGGGGAACTTACACAGCTTGCGCGTTTCCTCTGAAAGGTACAGCAGTCTGGGCGGGCTGCCTGCTGTAGGCAGCAGTTTGTGTATAGGGAGTGATAGACATAGGCAGATCCCCTTACCCCCCAGGAGGTCTTGTCAGGGATCAGCCATGCCTTAAAAATGGTTTTCTGGGGGCCACCCCAGTGGTGCAGCAGTTAAATGCGTACATTCCTCTTCTCAGTGGCCCAGGGTTCTCTGGTTCGGATCCTGGGTGCGGACATGGTACTGCTTGGCAAAAGCCACGCTGTGGTAGGCATCCCACATATAAAGTAGAGGAAGATGGGCATGGATGTTAGCTCAGGTCTTCCTCAGCAAAAAGAGGAGGATTGGCAGTAGTTAGCTCAGAGCTAATCTTACTCAAAAAAAAAAAAAAAAAAAGGTTTTCTGGGGGCTGGCCCTGTGGCCAAGGGGTTACATTCATGAGCTCTACTTCGGCAGCCCAGGGTTTCACTAGTTCGAATCCTGGGCGCGGACATGGCACCACTCATCAGGCTATGCTGAGGTGTCATCCCACATGCCACAACTGGAAGGACCCACAGCTGAAAATACACAACTGTATACCGGGGGGCTTGGGAGAAAAAGGAAAAATAAAATCTTTAAAAAAAAAAAAATGTTTTTCTGTCCCTGAAATCCTAAGCGGAGGCAGTGTGTTTCAAAGCGTAAAGCAGCCTTTCGATGTCAAGCCAGAGCCTGCTTACTCTTGGCACATTCGGTTCCTCACGGCTCTGGGAGCCAGCACGGCTCTTAGTCATGTCCTGAGGCGGCCTGTAGGTGGAGACAGCGCATGCTCCCAAAAGATTGTCACATGCAGCTAAGGCGGTGACTGCCAGGAACCATGCTGGGCTCTGGGGGACAGAGGGGACCCCCGTTCAAAGGAGCACTAGGGAACGGTGCCGACGATGAAAGGCATGCTGCAGAAGCAGACCCCGCGGCCTTGCCCACAGCGGGGAACAGCAGTTTCCAGGAGGAACCCCAGGGACGCTTCAGTCCTAAAGTGCGCACATCTCACCCGGTCCTTCCTCAGGGCGGTGTTTTTCAGAGTACTGTGGAGTAGCCGAAAGGCAGAGGGAAGAGAACACAGCCGCATCTGAAGGTGTAACTTGAAATGATGTGCTCTAACTCAGCCTCCAGGCAGCCCCTGCGAGGAACCACCACATTCCTTCCTGTCACTGTAGACCCCAGGCATGTGCACCCCAGTTGGAGAGCTTGGAGGGTGTGGTTCCCGTGCTCTCCGTGGGGTTGAGCACCGGAGTGCCAGGCCCAGTCCATCTGCCTCACGTTTACTGAACCTGCACAACACCCTGTGAGCTCCTACTGTCACCCCGCTGCACTGGTGAAGAAGTAGGTGGCCAGGCAGCACAGTTAGCTTGCATTAGAGGAGAACCAGCAGGTTACCGAACAAGCTAGTTAGCTGGTAGAGCCAGGATTTATAATCCTATTGTATGCTTCAGAATCGGGACCTGGACTTGGTGTTCTCCAGTCTGGCTTCCAGTAGCTTCTTCACCTGCACCGGGACTACACATTAACATTGAGGATATGGCGATGTTAGCACACAGCCCCTTTCCTCCTGGAGTTTAGAGTCTAGAGAACAGACTTGTGAGCAAATAACCACAGCGCTCACAGCTCACACCGCAGTGGGCGTTTGTGCCTTACAGACGCTGCCAGGTGGGTGCTGCACGCATCAGACCTGGGCATCAGCAGCCAGCACCTGCTCAATAACCGACTCCAACTTGGATCTTTATTCAGACAAACGGTTGCAAAAAGGCGTTTCTCCTTCATTTGGGGAAATTTGACCACGGACTGGATGTTAATTGATAGCAAAGAATTGTTCCTTGTATTAGGTTAATTTGTTAATTACCACAATATTGGCCTTGTAGTTATTGAAGAAAATATCTTTGGTTTTAGAGATGCAGATAAAAGTATGTGGGGTGAAATGATATCTAGGATTTGCTTTCAAATACATCATCGGAGAGTAACCAACCCAGTTAGACTGGGGAGCAAGGGTGTAGAGGAGGCGGGATTGGCTGCCATGTGTCGACGTTGGTGATGGCTGCACCGGCATCATCACACTAGGCTCTCTACCTTCACACATGTTTTAACTTCTCCCAGTGAACGTTTTTTTAAAACAAAAAAAACCAGCCATGCGATCGAAAGCTCTGTCCACATCCTAACAGCTGTTTGAGCAGCGGCCACTGCGCAGCCCCAGGGATTGAGGCCCGAGACGTCTCCGCGCACTCCCAGGCCCTGCGTCCGGCGATGGCCGTCTCATCACTGCTCTAGGAGAAAGCTGTCCACTAGGGCTGTCACTGAAGTGACTAAAGGGCCAACTCTTACATTTGTTTCCCCCTTGAAGAGTGAGAGTGTAGGCCTGAGTTAACAAATGCCTAAGTCCAGATGGGAAAAATGTCAGAAAACACACGTTGTAATTAGGGGCACTAACTTACGAACTGAAATGTTCATGATTATAAGTGTTGCTGTGCTGTCAGCTTGGTCTGCTGTCTTTTTGTCAAATGACATATATTTGGTCTTTTCCTGCCATCTTTATGTTAATGAAAGATATTCTCCATAATGCAAAGGTAGAATATTGCCATTCGAAAAACTTCCAGTGCATCGTAGGTGAATGCCGTTGGGCTGAAAAAATTGAATTTATGTGTTATTTTAAAGGAAACATTCAAATAGTTAAACAAATTTGAACATTTGATCATTGAGTGTCCTAGAAACCGTCAAAGGAGAAGCCAAAGGATTAAACAGCTCCCAGCTGCAGGGAGGAGCCACGGCCATGGCGGTATGTCACTCTCCTGAGCCACACTCAGTGTGTTGGGAGCTCTGCTGCCCGCATTAGGACAAGGTGGGCGGCAGCCGCCAGATCCCACATCCAACAAGGCAAATCTCACTCCAGCACACAGAAGAAGTAGATTTCGCTATGCAAAAAAAGAGTGTTTCAGGGAGGGTGTTATTCAGTGCCTGAATAACCCTAAGCAATGCCAGGTTCCCAGGACAGTTCACCAAACCCCGCTGGCACCAGCCTGACACCGACATGCCTTTGGGTGGTAGACTCACCCTCCCTCCCCAGCAGAAAGGAGGCAGCAGCCTGCCTCCCCCACCACCCACCAGCTCTGGGCACTAAGGGCAAGTGTGGGGAGAAGGGGTGAGTCTCGTTAGCCACATCTTCTAGACACCTAGCAGGGCACACGCTGTGCCAGGGGCAGTGGGCACTGAGAGGAAGTAGGAGATGCTGTTCCCACCTCAATAAAAGCTATACGTTAGGTCATGATGTTGAGGTTAGAATGGAGAACTCGTGGAAATTAGGAATGGTAAAAGTGGAATACTGAAATTCTTAAAATTCCAATGGACAGCGAATATGGCACAGGTATTTTGGGTGGTTTTATGCCACATAAAAAGTTTTTTTCTATTAGTGGCAGTTTTGGGGGCTAGATTTACTAAGAGTTTGATCTTGTGGCAATTTGTTTAACTGGCAAAGTATGTGACAAAATGCTTTTAAGTTA